GTTTATTTTCTCTATTTCTGTAATATTGAGTTTGGGGTTCCTTGCCACTGAGACCCTGACTTGCTTAGTCGATGTTTAAAAGACACTTATTATTATTATTATTATAATTATCAATGTGATGCTACTGACACTATTGGGTGAGAACAAAACTTGAACTTAATTGAGCTATTGTACTATTGTCTTTCATGCTTTATAACTGAAATGAATTTGTTCATAATTGATTTGAATTTTGCAACATCAACACTGTTATTCATCTGGGTTGCGTTTCCCAAAAGCATCTTAAGCTTAAGTTAATCGTAGAACCATTGTCAGCAATGGAGCTACGATCAACTTAGGCTTGCGATGCTTTTGGAAACGCAGCCCTGTATTGAATTAACATGGACCTAAGCTGAATAACAACACTACAGTCTCCTGTAGAGCTGCTTATAGCTGAATTGAACTTGGTTCATAATGAATGAACTTTACAGTCATTGAGTTAAACTGAATCAACACTGAACTGACTGGAGCTCAATAACGACACTATTATCTTAATAGAGGTGCTTTACTGCATTTGTCTTATTTTTAAAGTTTGCGTCATTGATTCTGCTACTTTCTTGTTCACTACTGTGAAGCTGATTTGAAACAATCTAAAGAGCTATAATAAAGTTGGCTTGACAAAACAAGTGGGATCAAAATCTCTCACAAGTCAAAACATATAGGCTATACTTCAGATGTTCCTATGCAAACAAACGTTCACTGGAAATTTTAGAGAGACATTGAACCATGACTTAAGCCCCGTTCACACCAAGAACGATAACTATAAAGATAGCGATATTAGCGTCCACACCAGCGAACAATATCGTCTGTTTGTTCTAAGCGCACGCTCGTCTGCCGCTTTAAATTCTCGAGCTCGTGATAGCAGGATGGATTCTGATTGGCTGTCAATGTTTGTATCGTTTATCAGCTGTAAAACAAAATCACTCTGAAAATGATTCCAATGATCTCGTTATAGCTGTGTGTGGACTCTGCTATTCTTTAATATTGAGAACGATTTTTAGAACTATATCTTTATCGTTATCTTTATATGTATCATCCTTGGTGTGAACAGGCCTTTAAAGTTTACACATTCATAAAACAATTATTTTCAATATCTTATTAAACGATAGTTTGATCGTCTACTAATTTTCATTTTTCATCAACCTTTATTGTTTTCACCTCTTCTTGAGAGTTTTACATTCTCAAGCCATATCAATTCTAATTGGCTGGTTGTATGATGCAATTTATTGAAATGCTGAATATGACATCAGCCACAAATTGCATATTCATGTTCAGATTTACATATTTTGATCAACTGTATTCTGTTTTACCAACAAACATTTTTTAGAAGAGGACATTTTCACTGTAGCTTTATGGTGGAATTATATACAGCTGAATCCCTTTCAAAACGCCTGAAGACTTGACTTCATTATTAATGCACTGATTAAACTCTTTAAAAGCCTGTAATATTCTTTCACCAGTGTCTTATCTACATCTAGGTACTTTAATTATTTTCTGAATTATTCAAGACTGTTGTATTTAAGCACTTCAACATGTCTCCCTTTTGTTGTTCCTACTTATCATGGATAAAAGCACCTGCTAAATTAATAAATGCGACTTTAATGCAAACAACATCTCAACATAGAACTTGCAAGTAAGAAATCTAAAACCTAATCTCACAGTGCACATGCAAACACAAGTTCACAGTATCATTGTATTGCATTTCAAATTCCATTAGTTTTAACCAATGTGCCTGACAATTATCTGTAATATTTCTATATATGAACAATTTTACTGAACTCGTTGAGGTTCACACACTCAAGAATGCATGAGGCTGCTTTTTATGCAAACAAGTAAAATAAATGATTTATGTAAAACAAAGACAGTGAGTGCAAACCTTGTGGAATACTATGAAAAGATGTTACCAGGGCCATGGGAGACAATGCATCAGTGTTCATATTAGTAGCCGCAGGAAGGGATGGAAGTCTGGCCTTGTAGATGAGGCTTTTGTGTGAGATGCAATAGAGAGCATCCAGGATCTGTAATCACTTTCAAACAGACGCTGTGCGCTTCATACCGCATCCAATCCACAGCACACAATGGAGCACTGTGGACTAGAAACCATCAATTTACTAGTTTCTTAAAGCTTCTGTAAAATCAGTTCTTCAGACCTTTAGGAATACTAACTCAAAGTGGACAGTTGTTTTGAAAATGTGTGGTGATGGGAAACAAATATTGAGATGGAAAAATTATATTTTAATGCCTTTGTTTTTTGCTTGCAAATCTGTGTTCTCTTGCAAAAATATTGCATTCCCCCAAGTAACTTTGATATATATATATATATATATATATATATCTTAGCCATCTTTATGCAAAATCTAATTTATTATTTCTTTCAAGTTCTGACATGATCTGGACATCTTCATTCAGATTGTATGATATACGCCTGGAGAAAGTAAGTGGGCAGCGAGCAAAATTCTAATTACATGCTAATTATAAATCATAGCACAGATCAACTAGTCTGAACTTGCATATAATCAACTACATGTAGGGCTTTGGCTTTCAACAAAGACAAATGCTGTCTGGTGAGACGAGGCTTAGAAAGCAGTCATTCATCTGACCTTATCAGAGCGTTCTAAATAAACAGCATTGTGGGAAATAAGTAGGAGATCAATGCACAGCAAGAGTCATCCATCGCCACCATTGAAAGTCTCTGGCCTGTTTGATAAAAAGTCCATTAAAGCATGTCTAATTAAATGATAAGCTCAAATGAAATCACAGGTTGGAAAGATTTGCAGTAACCACCTCATGGAGCGGCAAGTGATCATGGGCCATCTAATAATCACAAACAAACACAAGTGTATAGGCACAGCAGCATGCGATAGTCAGCACGCAAATTGATTTGACTTTTATATTGAAACGCTGAGCTGCGAGGCTAATTGGATTATATGATATGTCGTGACCGGTCGAGTCCTGGCATGTTCTGAGATATCAGTGCTTTACAACTAAGATATATGAGTAAAGAAGGTCAAGATGGGTCAGAGGAACCACAGAGAAGAGACTAATCTCCACACTGCAGTCTTATGAAGTGTAATAAAACAATTAGCTCAATGAAGCAGCTTCTTACCATCTGATCAATTACCAGTATGATACAGACCAGGAGGCTTGAGTAATAATGAGTCTAATTTACTCTTGTGTTGTTCACGGTTACTCTTACTACCCACAGGATGTGATGCTATTACTCAGATGTTGCTCTTTCATGGATCAGAACACTTAATGGAGATCGCAGTCATGTTTCATTTAAATATCTTTTTCTTTCTTTTTTTTTTGTCTTAGGACAAACTCTGGGTAATCTTTGGAAAATCTAATTGTTGGCAGTGAGCAATGAGTATAGATTTCTTCAAACACTCGAAAAGAGACAAACGAGATTAATAGCATCTGAGGAGATAAATCCCAGAAGCAGGAGACAAAAAAGAAGGAAAACCTGAGCCATCTTCTACTGTACTGTTAAACAAACAAACTAACTAAATAAATAAATACATTTCAAATACATTTCATATAGATTGCTTCCTACAGCACTGCAGAAGATAAAATATGATAATAAAAATAATGATAATAGTAGTAGTATTAGTAGTAGTAGTAGTAGTAGTAATAATCAAGATATCAGGAAAAATGTTGTTTTATTTTACAGAACATACTAATATAATAAAATATTAATGTTTGTGGCTATCTTAATTTCTTTCTAATTGCTTCCGAACATTAATCCACAGCGCTATTATTTGGCTGGAAACCTGCAGGAGACCTTAAAATTGATCTTTTATCGACAAGAGATTCATATACAATACTCATTATAGATTTTCAAAGATGGTTTGCGGATGAAGAATTTTAAAATGGCCTTTTAATGGCCTCCATGTGGCTTACACCGTAGAGCATGATGCTTGCAAACAAAGATCAAGGGTTTGATTCCCAAGGAAAGCAAGAACTGAACAATGTGTACCTTGAATGCAATGCAAGTTGCTTCGTATAAAAGTGTCTGCCAAATGTGTTAATGTAACACGAACAGAGCTGCTCCAAGACACCGAAAACACCGGATCATGAATTGCTCACATGTAAATAAACACAGTGCTGTGGCAGAAATGCTAAGGATATCCAGCACAGAGCTGGAATAAAAACCTCACCATGTAAAGGTGGGGTAAGCAATTTCTGGTAGCCAATGTGGACATTTCAAATCACCAAAACAAACACGCAACCCAGGCAACGATTAGTTCTGTGAAACAGAGCAAAACCAATGTTACACCGTGTCTACACCAGACACGAGCGGCGCGACAAAATACTATAGAACTCGTAATCAGTGATGCTGTCTACACCATAGATATATACATATCTATGGTCTACACTGGATGCGGCGCGGCACGACACGACAAATCCCCGACAGAAAACTGCTGCTGAGTTCTATTCATGACGTATTGACACAAATTTCAAATGATTTTCAACGGCCGCTTTGTCGCGTCCAGTGTACTAGACAGACTTTAGCTGTTGCGGCGCGGACATGGTGTTACTCACCTATCGAGAAGAAACAAAGCAACCTCAGCTGATCCGATATTTACACGGGTCCTACTTCTTGCCTTAAGTCTTCTTTTGTTCCGCAGACGTTTTCCTCTTTTGTTTTTTATCCGCCCTCTCTATCTTTCTGTCGCTCGTCTCGGCTAATGTCCGTCCTGTGCACTGAACGCTCTCTCCTCCTCATCATGAGTAGACACGCCCCTTACTGCTGATTGGCTACAAGTTTGTTTTGCTAGTCGGCCGAATCAGTTTTCTAAAGCGTTTTTGAAAAATCGCTTACCCCACCTTTAATCACATTCTGTCTAGGAGAAACACTTTTTTTTGTAATTTCCTATGTGTATTTATATTTGGAAAACAAATGTGATACTATACGAACAACAATAATGAAAATGAGATTAAAGCAACATTGGAATGTTTTATTCATTCATGTTACATTTTTTTTTTTTTTAGAAAATAAAACACAACCAATAAATACAAAGATAAAAAGCAACTTTTTGGCGACTGCCTCAATGTATTTCAATAGTAGCATTTCTGTTTATTTTATATAGTTGTGTATCTTTTTTTGTTTTACTGCGCTCAATGACAGCGGGCAGCGGCACCCAAAGCAGACGGCTCACAATGGATTGCAATGAAACATGAAACAGGCATGCAGATCCGTGAGTGATCCTCTTCACACATACACACACACACACACACACACACACGAGTTGGCACATTAAAGACAACATCTAGAAACATTTTGTTTGTTTCGCAAAATAGATATTATATATATACACAAAAAAACAAGAAATAAACCCAGGAACCATCTTTGCATCTCTCACCTGTCAAAACACTGACACTTTAGAGTGTCACTTTAAGATTTAAAGGTGAAGAGTGTAATTTTTGCACCACTAGCATCACCAAACATTTGCAAGATTTGCAAGAAAATTTCACCGTTTTAAAAAAACAGTCCTGAACACGCCCCCATTTCTCACTGGTCAGCCAAAAAGACAGTCCCGCCCCAAACTCACGCCATTGGTCGAGTCGCTGCTGCTCAAACAGAGCAATGTTTTGATAGCGCCACAGTGTTACACTTGTAATGAGAAGCTGGGATAGGAGATTAACGTCAATTATACACATCACCTTTAATAATTCAATGAAAAGAAAACCTCCATCTGCCATCACATCCGTAAATTCAAGGTATGCTTTCCGGTAAAATCAGGTGCATCAGTAGTTTAACAATACACGTAATGTACAGACACAATATCACCCATGTCGTCGCATGGTTTCGTTAAAATTCAGCGTGTTTTCCTCCTGCTTGGTGTGTAAGGCAGAGAGCCAGTCACATGATCAGAGATGCATGTCGTAATCTCAAAGCTGCTGAAATCTCATCGACTCCCTCATGGGTTTGGCAGGAATATCTGGCACAGAAGGTCGTGGAGGAGAAAACGTCAAAGCAGAAAGTGCACAGAGGACAATAGAGGTTGAAGGTTGAAGAAATGTGCCGAGTCTTGCATTCCCACTCTTTATGTAGATGTGCATTCTCACTGGAGGACAGAAGGCTCATTCAGGTGGGCTGGATCGGCCCAAGCAAAAGGAGACAGAGGAGGCGAGGTGAAGAGGTTGAAGCCGGTGTCGATCGGGGTCTGGAGCTCTCGTGTTATCTGACCTCCAGGCAGTCCAGATACTCCAGAGCCAGCTCATAGCAGAACCTGTACTGCTCCTGCCAACAACAGCGAGGCCACGTCAGTTTCTCTGGCAACATTCACACTGTATCAACTTTATAACTCTACTAGATTTTTATATTTGAAGAATATATATACGGGAATATAAATGTAGAAATGTACACAGAAAAAAAAAATCGTATTTACTAAAAAATTCTAGTAAATTTCGCAAATACATACAAAATAAATGGCAAGCAACACAATGAATTAAATGTGAAACTTTGAAACAGAAAGACTGAAATATATATTGACATGACAGACTTTAATGTTCATTAATATTTAAGATTTGAAAGTCTATGAATACTTAACATTCAACTTAATGTCCCCCCCCCAGGGTTTAAAGGGATAGTTCACCCAAAAATGAAAATTCTGTCATTAATTACTCACCCTCATGTCGTTCTAAACCCGTAAGACCTTCGTTCATCTTCAGAACACAAATTAAGATATTTTTTGATGAAATCGGAGAGCTCTCAGACCCTGCATAGACAGCAACGCAACTGTAATGTTCCCAGGTCCAGAAACGTAGTAAGGACATCGGTAAAACAGTCCATGTGACATCAGTGGTGCAACTTCAATTTTGCGAAGTTACGAGAATACTTTTTGTGCGGAAAGAAAACAAAAACAACATAATTTATTCAACAATTCTTCTCTCCCGAGTTACGTCTTCTGCCATTTTGGAGAGTTCCCTAAGTATGTAATCGACGTAATCAGCATTGTTTACGTTCGGGGGGAAAGTGCGTGCATGAACGTAATCTGCGTAATCAGCATTGTTTACGCTTAGGGGAAAGCGTGCGTATGCATTGTGATACTCTCTAAAATGGCGGAAGACGTAACTCTGGGGAGAAGAATTGTTGAATAAATTATGTTGTTTTTGTTTTCTTTCCGCACAAAAAGTATTCTCGTAGCTTTGCAAAATTGAAGTTGCACCACTGATGTCACATGGACTGTTTTACCGATGTCCTTACTACGTTTCTGGACCTGGGAACATTACAGTTGCGTTGCTGTCTATGCAGGGTCAGAGTGTTCTCCGATTTCATAAAAAATATCGTAATTTGAGTTCCGAAGATGAACGAAGGTCTTACGAGTTTGGAACGACATGAGGGTGAGTTATTAATGACAGTATTTTCATTTTGGGGTGAACTAACCCTTTAAGACATGGCTACAGCCTTCAATAGCAATAGTGTAGGCTAGTAGTGCCGAAGGTTAGCAGTAGTGCCTAACCTAACACAACTAATTAGTTATTAACAAAAGTAAGCACACTAACCATAGACTCCACCATGTTGGGCTTGGAGTTGCGGAGAGTCTTGACTGCGTAGAACACATCCACCATGTTGTGATGGTGCACCATCTCCATTATCATGGTGCAAGCGCAGAAAGTGCCACTGCGTCCGCCGCCATTCCTTAAAGACACCAATACGTCGTTTCATTAGCATCTTCAAGAAAAGCAGCGGCTTGTAACACATGAAGGAGAGCGGGATCTGAGCAGCACACTTTCAGAGCTTGTGTGGATTATTGTATTAGAGATGTCTGGAGGGGATAGCTGTGAAAGAGACATATTTGTGCCACCACAGAAATCTGCAATACTTCTGAGCATGAAGGAATGGAAAGTACCAGTGCGCTCTGGGGAAAAAGTCATGCAATAAAAATGTCACATCCTACTGAGCTAAGATCATTTCCCTTGGGCTACTGATAGAGGAAGGGCACCCCAGCGCAGATGCTTTGAAGCGCACGCCTCTCATTAATAGTGGATAGACGTATTAAACTACAGGCAAGTGCAGGTGGCAGGGACGAATCCTGAGGCCAGAGCGCTAAGAAGTCTAATACTGAGGAAAATGAAGACATGAAAACGCGGCCAGAGATTAAGCGCTTTAAGCAGATTTTCACTGTTGGGTGGCCAGGAGCAAAAGAGACCTGGGTTGTATAATCAACACAATGAAGTGTAATTGCTCTCCAATTAGCATTTGGGAGCGGAGCCGTGTGAAACTTACAGGCAGTGCACTACAGTGCGACCGTCGCCGCACTCCCTCTGCCACTTCTGCACTTGTGCCAGCAGGTTGAGAAAGGCCTTCTTAGAGTCTGGGATTTCACGATAAGCCGACCAGCGCAGAAACTGGAAATGTCGCACTACCAGATGACCTTCCTGCAACTGAACGATAAAGACAGAGAGAACAAGAGCAGAGGAAAGAAAAAAACATTAATAAGAATAAAAGAGGAGTACAACAGCGGGTCAAATAATTTTGCTGGTGTTTTCTACAGACAGGGGGCGCTTTGGTAACCTATTACTTTTACAAAAAAAAAAAAAAAGTATATTTAATAAATTATTGCTCTTAAAAGTTTTTAACTATTAACTATTTGAAATGACAAAAATATGTTAAGCAAATAAGTTCATTTTAACCCTTCATAACCCTTCAAGTTCATTTTAATTGACCTCCTGAATGAATAAACAACATTATCCGAATAACACTATCTCACTGAAAAAAACAAAAAAAAACAAAAACAAAACACATTTACCTAGTTTTTCAAAACTCCAAAAAAATGTACCTATACATATAATGTATCCCTATTTCCAGATGAAATAAACACTAGAGGCAGTAAAGCACCAGCCTTCCCTTTGTACACAAATTATAATTATGGGGTGGATTAGTGATTAATTAAAACTTATTTTCGCACAGTTGCTTGCACAATTTGACCTCAAAACACTTTTACCATAGTGCATGATTTGTAAACTAATATGGGTCCCACGGTTGCAATTTTATTTTACAGTATGTGCACTTATGTGAACTTACAGTGCACTTACCTAAGAAAGTACTGGGTTATTACAAGGTAAATAAATGTGTTAAGGTTACTATGTACTTGCTTAAAAATGTTGTTTGGGCAATGTAATTATTGTATTCATATTGAATTGCAAAATACATTTGCTGCTTTTGAGGTGGGATACGGGTAAGTTAGGGACAGTTTTGGTGGTATGGGTAGGTTTAAGGGTGGGTCAAAGTGTAATTATAGATGTATCAGATATTATTACAGAAAGGTGTTTTTAAACTTAAGTACAATGTACACATTAAGTGCATTGTATCAAATGATTAATTTAAATGTAAGTACTTAGTAGTTAAAGACACTTAATATAAAGTGGGTCCCTGTGTTTTGATGTTTGCACACAACCAACTCCATATGTATGGCTTTACTAACATAGTAAACTTGCTTGGTAGCCCACCCGGTAGAGCATTGCAATTGGGTACAAATCACGATAAAAGAGCTTGAGGTCAGGTTTAGTGTAGGTAGTATGTGGTGCTTTTAGCGCCACTCAATGCACACTTCATTTTGAAATTTTAAAAATTCACTTTCATCAGTTTTACGTAAAACAGAACACACTTTTAGACCCGTTTTACTTTGATAGCATCCCAAAATGTGCAAGAAGCATTGCAATATAATTTCATAGAAACGTCACCATGTGCACATTGTTTTAAAAAATGTACCTAGGTTGAAACTGAAGCTTAAGCACCTCCTTTCACTCATTTTTTCAGGAACTGTTTTGCATCATGGAATATCTACTGTACGTCAAACACTCATTTCAAAACAGCACACAGTATTCAGCTGGACCCTCTGAGCATTAATTAGCATCTAAATTACTCTGTAACAAATCATAAAAGCATTGTTCTGTCTTGGGGCTGTCTATTTTTCTTTATCCAGGGATGGCGCCATTTAGCAACATGATCTATCAATAACACTCTACGCCTTGTACCTTTTTGGGGACGAGAGACTCATCGTTCCAACACGGGTGGTTCTCTCTGGGGTCTTATGAAGAGGCAGTATGGGACATTTTCTGACAATGACATGGACTGTTTGCCTGGCTTGCAGAGTCTCAAAGAGACAGAGGGGACGTGGGGACTGACAGGGGCTAGCCAAACTGACACAGGCATGGATGGGAACGCGGCTAAAGGTTGACAGCCTGGCTTGACAGGAGTGCTAAAGGGGGCTAGCAATGAGAGGTGCAATACTTGGGACAAGATTTCAAAGAGACAGGATGTTGACAATGAAGCCATCAGAGAGGACTAAGGTCAGCTAGAGGTGTGAGAAAGTGGCTTTTTATTCAGACAAGTCAATATCAGAAGCACAGACCACACTGAGAGAGACTGACACAATACGAACAACTTTATCTCTCTCACACACGCACATAAAGTGAGAAATAAACAGCTCTAATTCCAGCAGCGCAGTGCCACCAGCTCTAGTTTGTGAAATGGAGACTTTTAATGACTGACCACACTTTTATGCCGTTGCTTTAATTTAATCGGTATTGAATTCATTTTCTAAAAGTCTCTGAAAAGATCATTTAGCCATTAGCCTCAGTTAATTAACCTTTCCGAAGTGGCCCTGAACTTAGACAATCTCCAATCTTTTAAAAAAAGATGGACGTTAGAAGACGGGTCATTCGTCTAATGAGGTCTGATTTTAATGAGGTGCTGTAATAAATGTCAGTGCTAACACTGGGAGAGAACGGCTCGTGATTGGAAGGCACATACAGGGGATAACATATATCTGAAGATGACTTCTTTGGCGCTATAGACTCACCCGTGTGATGTTGGTCACCCTGAATAGGCGAGTGACGACGTTGTCATCGGTAGATCTGGAGAGCAGCTCCACTGTCATGGGTCCAAACTGCTGCATGCCTGTTTCAGGCCAGTACTGCAGACAGGGCTGAGAGAGAGAAGAATAAATTACACAAGTAAATTGCTATTTTAATTCACTCCTGTACACATGATAGATCAAATGTGTTGTTTAACAACGGGGCAGTGACCAACTATTGACATAACTGTGACCAACAATTATGTCCACAATGATTTTCAAAAATCTAGTTTGAATTCATGTTAGTTTTCATTTGGTTTACAAACAAAGACACAAATAAAAGCATTTTAAATTACTGGTGAATTGTCACAACCGGGACAAAGAGGCAGACAGGCAGGTTAACGTAAATCAGAGAGTTTAATAATAGGAACTTAGGAGAGGCTTCCAACGGAAAAGAGTTCAACATAGGGATAAATGGAAGCATAGAACACAGTCTTATCTGGGGTCGGCACTCCGGTCCTCCGGCCGAGAACTGAGGAATCCGATGGTTGAAAGGCAGATCGGGAGGCAAGGAACCAGGACAGAGAAGCTTGCAACCTTGAGACCAGCCGACGAGTGACTGAGGTGAGTGTGTATTTGACTGGTGCGGTAAGTGGGTGCAGGTGTCCGTGATCAGTAATCAGGTGATTGTGAGCGGGTGTAGGAGGCTGATTCGGCTGGTGAGGCAGGTGTTTCCATGACATGAATAATATAATGATATTTAAAACATACTTATTTGCTTTTTTATATTAATATACATTTTTTAGTATTACACTTTTCATTTTAAATATATCATATTTGACAACGTGATTTAATCTCATTGTGTCAGAAAAAAAAAAAAAGATCAAACATCCCATTTTTGTACTCTCTATGATATAACTTATTTTATGGCTTTTTTATGTATGTATTTATATATGTATGTATATGTATGTATTTATTTATTTGGGTCAGATGACAGACAAAATGGCACCCTGCATGCCTGTAACACTTTACAATAAGGTCCCAGTTTAATGCATTTAATCTGCATTAATCTAATGTAGTTAATGCATTAACTAACAATAATTTACAATCAGCAATGCACTTTTACAGTATTTAGAACAAAGATAGTATCTTTCATTGTTTATGTCAACTACTGAAGTTAATGTTAACTAATGGAACTCTATTGTAATAATAACATTTTAAAACAAAACAGCTTTTATTTACGCCTCAATGTCTGGGGGGGGGGGACATAAAAACTAAATTAATAGATAGCAGACAGAGAAAATGGGCATCTTGCGATTAGGCGAAGGGTGAAGATAGACAGTGAAAGGATAATGGAGTCAAGAAAATGCCAGAGATAGGCTAATCAGCACTGAAAATCCAATTGCGGCCCACCAAGATAAATAATCCTTGCTCATTTCTCCATATCGCCTGCATTGTCTAGTCCAATCTTCCACCAGATTACCATTTGCTCAATGTGTCAATTAATTTTCGCTCACGCCAGTTGCAAACAGCTTCAGCCATGCATTTCCAATGAGAGATACAGAGATGTTGATATAGATGAGATAGAAATTGATAAATCCTTGTCACAGTGATGTGCATTAACAGAGTGACACTGTGCCGAAGAAGATAAATATTCATCCGAACACACTCAAGACAGATCAGAAACGGGTGACTAGCAGAAGGAGCACAGAGAGATATTTCTAGAAAGTTAGATGACTAACGGAGTGTGATAATGTCTGGAAAAACATTCGCACACATCAGATGGAAGACAGGAAACTGAAATAACTATAAAATCATCTTGTGCAGATCACCTCACTCAAAGCACACACACACGCACACACACACACACACGCAGGTATTATCAGGTGAGGCTTAAAGATGATACACTCTAATTTTGCATTCAGTGGAATAATGTGCACCAGAGATGCTTTATCATGGAGAACGGGTCACAGTGCTTGCCTGCAGGGGGGAGCGAAAATCACGGGTAGGTTGGTATCTCGGTGAGTTTGTCCTTTCCATTGCCAATGTAGACAAGACAAATACATTATCAATGTGGGGAGTCTCAAATGAAAGGCACGTTGTGTGTGCGCTGCTCACCCAGAGTGAGAATTATGGGCTCCGAGGGGGGGTGTTGTCTGACCTACCAAAAAATAGCTTGAAAACCCTTAAAGACTTCAAAACAAACGGGTGTAGGGGGTCTTAAAATATGCAAGGTTATTTTCGTCTCTGGCCCATACTGGCTTTTCTTTTCTCACATGTGGAACAAAAGTAAAAACATTACAAATCACACTGAATCTAACATTTTTTAATTGTAATCTGGACAACTTTCATATTTGGAAACAAATTTCGCAATGTAACCTAGCTCATGCCATTTTTTTATGTCAATTTAACTTGACATTTGTTATAACTGCATGTTTTATTTACTCTATTATGCTGGCTGCAAAAACATTTATATACACATATATTAGGGATGTGCATCTCCATTACTCTCGCAGCAGCATTTTGGATTAATTGCAATACGATTCACCCCTATTATGATGCAGTGCAATCCGATTTCGATTCGATTCAACACAGTGTGATTCAATGCAATATGATGCAATTTTCATTACTAAGTGGTTAGCTTATTTTAATGGTGTTCTGGATCATGTCGAATGATTATGTTTGTTCGGCTCATTTGACTGCAGATTTCATGTAAATGAGGCACAGTCTAAAAAAGCAGCCAGCTTTATTATATATATACTGTATATATATAGGTATGAGACAAACCTCCACAGTTGGCTCCCAATTTTAGTTTGAACAAAAATGCAGGTATTCATGGAAATCAAAGTTCAGTAAAGGGTACAATCTAGACCTGAACAGTTTTATGAATGAGTGCCATTGTGTGAATCTCATAGTGAGTATTGTAAACATTGTGGGTTGTTAACCTGGCTCCAGTGGTGGTTTTGTAGGCAAACATTAATGCCTTGAATATAATGCGAGCAGCTACTGGTAGACAGTGCAAATTGATGAACAGAGGTGTGACATGCGTTCTTTTCGGCTCATTAAAGATTAATATTGCAGCGGCATTTTGGATTAATTGTAGAGGTTTGATGGAAGTGGCTGGAAAACCTGCCAAGAGTGCATTGCAATAGTCCAGCCTAGGGGACTGTGGCTGCTGCACACATTATCAACTATCACAAAACGTAGAAACAGTTGTTGATTAAGTGTTTATTATATATATATATATATATATATATATATATTAATCAAACAATTGCAGATGTGTGAGACAAACCTCCACAGTTTGCTCCCCATTTTGGTTCAAACAAAAATGCAGGTATTCATGGTAATACATGGAATGTGGTGTTCTGGATCGTGTCGGAGGATTATATGTGTGTGTTGGGATCATTTGACTGCAGATTTAATGTAAATGAGGCACAGTCTAAAAAAGCAGCCAGCTTTATTATATATATACTGTATATATATAGGTATGAGACAAACCTCCACAGTTGGCTCCCAATTTTAGTTTGAACAAAAATGCAGGTATTCATGGAAATCAAAGTTCAGTAAAGGGTACAATCTAGACCTGAACAGTTTTATGAATGAGTGCCATTGTGTGAATCTCATAGTGAGTATTGTAAACATTGTGGGTTGTTAACCTGGCTCTCTTACCCAGGCTGAGTTGGACTGGTTGAGCTGGTTGAGCATGACGATGGAGGTACAGCCGTAGTCAAACACCAGTCTCCAGAAGTCTGAGGGCGGCAGCGCGGCCGAATCCTCATCGGACAGCTCTCCCTCCGATGCTGAGATCGACATCTGGTCGGGGGGAGGTCCACTGGATATCGCTGGTACGCTCTTTAAAGAGGGCCCAGCGCTTTCCGTGGGTCGCTCCACTGGATCGGAGGAGCAAGAGGAGTGATGGTCCCCAGAGGGTTGGTTCCCTGCAGGGTTTGCCATCACTGTAACCCCCAAACCGCCCGTGCTACTGCCGGAAGTGGTTCTCGCCTGTCCGCCAGAACGAGCCCCAGATCGCGGCAGCGGCAACGGGACTCCGCCCCCTCGCAGCTCCGAGATGGTCATCTTCCCTGCAATGAGAACATGACTCATCCACGAAGGCCTTGATGCCCAGACACGTGAGGCAGCGATCGTTGACCATCACCCGGTGCCAGGTAACGACCGCACCCAGAAACGCACGGGTGAAACGGCATCCTTATAAGGACGATCCGTCGTCTTTATAAAGACGCACCCGTGTAGCTCTTTTAGAGAAATTTTCTCTTTTTAGGAAATGCTCTTTTAGTGCTGAGGCGCACAGGGGAGATGGCCGCTTGCAACACGACAGGGGGTAGTGCAGCCTGAAGTGCGCAGCCCACTCGACACTGGAACGACCACCACTGAAGTGCCGTCTCGCCAACACAGAAAGCTACCGAGAGCGTGCTGAACTCGTAGTTCTCGAAATGAATATAGAGCAGAACGATGTTGTCGCTCGGCTCCGAAGCGAAAAGCTGGTATGCATTGCACCTGCTGCCTTATTATACTCACGCTGTGATCAGCGGCAGCTGGATGCAATAATTGCATGCCAATGTGCATTGGCTCGTTTAGTTTACACTCGAAGGGGATTGGTCTATCGAAGCGATATCCCAATTCGTCGGTCACCGACGTGACTCGGAGTGACCGACTGAAAGGGAACTAGTTATTAGTTATTTTACCATTAGTTTTTGTTTGTTTACACTGTCATCTAATTATTATATTTAGTGAATTATTATTATTATTATTAGTATTATTATTATTATTATTATAGTTTTGTTTAACAATAACAACACTGCATTGATCATTCAGTTAACAACATGTTGTATTACGAGAACCAGCATGTAACCTTTTGAACTCTTGAATATGCTAGTAATATGCATGTTAATAAGCAACTATAGTTAATAGTGAGAAATGTATTATTTTGATTATCGTATTACACTATTATTATTTTGTTTTGTGCACTGAATGCAAACATCTGTTGAGTGAAATAGCTTAATTAAGGCAGTACTAAATACTGTAAAAATAAACTTTTTTAAACTATTAACATTTTTCCGATTCTGTAAGATGTATGTGAACTAACAACCTCAAGTGTAGACAGATGCAGAGAAAAGCTTTGGAAGCTGAAATGATTTTGTCTCAGGGAAATAATGTCTACAAATCTTAATGGCTGAGAATAAATGCACACTGGTCACATATGAATACTTCTGCTATGAGCCTTGAGGTGAATGAATCAGACTGAGAATTATGCAGATTATTACATTGATGGGAAAAGTGCTTCAATCCCGATTGGTTCTGACAGCACAAATGGGACATTACAGTTATGATTATAAAGATTACACTGGCTGTGAGGATGACAGGGACAGGTACACAGTCTCAGAGCGGCAGGCATGAAGCCATTAATAGCTTAATGCTTAAAACACACGCGAGTGGAACTGTACGGTGAGGGAACACCTCATTAAACCCTCTCTTAACGAAAGAAAATAGTCTCTACAGCTGGTTGACTTCATCACAGTTTGAGCTGTGAGTTAGTATGCAGCACTTAACCTGGATGAAACAAAATGACATGATTTGCATAAAGCCCCAATGGAAATATAATAAAATTAATACAGTTCATACAAACCCAAGCCTCTATGATAGTCTGGTCTCTACATTAGTTTTTTTTTATTAAACATGTTATTTCATTTAGTTGCCAATGAAGCATTTTTGATTTTTGCTTACGTTTTCTTTATCTAATATTTAATCTTTATTACATTAAAACCTTTTTTAGTAGTTTTAGTTCAAAATAAGTTCTCTACACAACTCAAACCCCTTCTTCAGTGTAAGTCTGTGGCATTGTTTTGCTTGTTTTCTAAGTTAACTTGTATTCAAGTCAAAATATTATTTAACACTGAATGAACCTAAATACATTCATTTATACCAATAAAGCTCATTTTAATGGGTTAATAACTGCAGATTACCACTTTTTACAGTGTTCTCTTTCGGCTTACAGTAAAAAGAAAGAACAAAAAAAATAATTAAAATGCATGAGGTTTTAATCTCTGGCTTCAATCAGTGCTCCTAATTTTTCCAAAGACAACTCCAATTACACACCATATACATCACACAATCTCAGCTCATTTTTCACTTAAACGATTATGTATATATTATGTTTGGTCTCCTAATATGGTCAGAAGTTTTCCTACACTATTTCTTGGGCGTTTTGCTTGCTGGGATCACTTAGGAAAGTGTTTTAATTTGTCAGTGTGTCTCAGCAGTACCTCCCACTTGGACCAATCTCAGCACAGAGTCTCTTCCTGGGTCTAAGCAATGGGATGCAGTCAATGTACTTGAACATATGACATCCGCAGTGCATTAGCAGAGTCCACAACATTAAATTGGGCTGTAATTAAACTGCAATCAGCAGTAATATTGCTGGTTATTAACTTGCTAAGAAAGTAATAAGCAACAGGCATGATAATGGTTGTCTCAGCTCATGGGTCACAAAAAGGATACATCCTTATATTTACTGGAAATAAAAAAATAAGAGTGAATTTTTAAAAATTTGATGAGTGACTCTATTCACAGTTTGAGAGTTCTGGGGTCAGTTTTGTGAGAATCTTATGAATAAAATGACCTTGGAACTCATAAACTCACCTAGTTGACTTCTCTAGTTGAAATGTGAAATAATAATACAACTTATAAGAACTGATTTATTTTTAAATATACTTTAAAATGCATTTTATTCCTGTGATGTTAAAGCTGAATTTTCAGCATCATTACTCCAGTCTTCAGTGTCACATGATCCTTCAGAAATCATTCTAATATGCTGATTTGCAGCTCAAATATTAGTTTTATATCTGTTTTTGCGGTTTCATATTTTTGTGGAAACCATGATATATTTTTCAGGATTCTTTGATGAAAAGTTCAAAAGAACAGCATTTATTTTAATTTATTTTATTTTTACCGTATTTTTTATTTTTTTTTACCAATTTAATGCATCCTTGCTGAATAAAAGTACTAATTTCTTACCCAAAATTTTTAATTGTTGTGTATTACAGTTTCCACAAAAATATGAAGAAGCACAACTGTTTTCAATATTGATAATAATCAGAAATATTTCTTGAGCAGCAAATCAGTATATTAGAATGATTTCTGAAGGATCATATGACACTGAAGATTGGAGTAATGATTAAGCTTTACATTTTAAAATATATTCAAATAGAAAACAGTTATTTTAGATTGTTATAATATTTCACAATATTACTGTTTTTACTGTATTTTTGATCTAATATACAGCCCTGGTGAGCAAAAGACAAAGCATTTTTTTTTATATTCAAAACTTTTAGTATAGCACGAGACTTAAACTACTTCAGTCTGTGTGCATTGAATTTATTTAATACACGAGTTTCACAATTTGAGTTGAATTACTGAAATAAATGAACTTTTCCACGACATTCTAATTTATTGAGATGCACCTGTATATTTTATTAGAGCTGTTTTATTCGGTAGAGTATATTTTATTTATTAAAGTGTCCCTATTATGGATTTTTGAAAATTACCATTCATGCAGTGTGTAACACAGCTGCAAGTGAATGAAAACATCCTGGAAAGTATTAAATCTGAAAGTGCACTGTGTTTAAAGTTATTGTCTCTCAAAACAAAGAGTCAACTCGGAATCATTTAATAAACGAGTCATTTTTAAAACGAATCCCAAGCCGTTTAATGTTGACATGAAACATTAGAATATTGCCTGCCCACATGTTGCGCGTGCAGACATGGAAAAACTTGAGAAGACGTTGTGCTCTGCACTACGAGGGTAAACCTTTTTTTTTTTTTTTACTGCCAAAGGATGAGGCTGTGAATAATCAATGGCTAAAGTTCATTTTTACAACAATACCACAGCAGTATAGCCCTATAAACTTGTGTTGTGTCCCCGTAATTTCACTGAAGACTGCTACAGCAACAGTGTTTCCCACAGACTTACACTCTATGTGTGGCAGGGCTTCCGCCGTGGGATATACTATATATTTGGTTCACATTTACAGCTCTGCGTGTTTGCTGCTTAAAACCATCAGTCGATTTTCGTGTTGGTCTGAATGAAAATGCAAATTCATTCTTTGCCACTAGGTGACACTTTTGAAGCGGTAAAAATAGCTGTTTCCCCGGTAACAGCTGTACACAAAGTAGCACTGTGCTCACAAACGCTGCTTTATGAAATTGAAATAAAATCGACCAATCGGACCAATCATCGCAAATTGGCGTCACGCAAAGGAGGGGTTTGGAAAAATTAATCGTTGATTGAATCGTTTGGGAGTCGTTGAGCAAGTAAGGTAAAAATATATGCATATTATAAGACAATGAAAGTAATTTTGAACTTGCATCCATGTCAACCTGTTGTCGGGGACTCCCAAAACCAAAATATGAACCTTTCATAACCCATAATAGGGGCACTTTAAAATAGATGAGTTTGATCTATTTTACTGATTACTGTTACTGTACTTTTGATAAATTTAGCTTTGGTGAGCATAAAAAGACATAAAATACCTTATTGTCTGAATGAAAATGCAAATTCATTCTTTGCCACTAGGTGACACTTTTGAAGCGGTAAAAATAGCTGTTTCCCCGGTAACAGCTGTACACAAAGTAGCACTGTGCTCACAAACGCTGCTTTATCAGGCATTACAGGCAAGATGAAATGAAAATGAAACCAATCACCGCCGATTAGTGTCACGCAAAGGAGGGGTTTGGAAAAATTAATCGTTGATTGAATCGTTTGGGAGTCGTTGAGCAAGTAAGGTAAAAATATATGCATATTATAAGACAATGAAAGTAATTTTGAACTTGCATCCATGTCAACCTGTTGTCGGGGACTCCCAAAACCAAAATATGAACCTTTCATAACCCATAATAGGGGCACTTTAACTAAAATGTAACTAAGCCTAAATGACTAAAAACATGACAACAATCTGATTAGCGACATCCTGGAATTGTGCTAACCACTTCAGACTCTATGGGCAACAAAGAAAGTGAAGAAAGTTATTTATGAGTCATCTGTCCTCAGTTCATTCACTCACCTGAAACTCTTCTCGCAGTTGAGAGGTGTTGGTCTGAGAATCCACACTCAGCATGTCCTTATAGGTGAGCGCAAACTCACTGATGGGGATGGCGGTCTCTCCGCACAGACAGGCCTCTAGTATGGCATCATGGATGAATATATACTGCTCCTGAAAGAGAGATTGACATAGAAAGAGTCAGCTAAGGACGGAAAACTGCTTCGAAGAAATGAGGCCATGTCACAACATGCACGATGCAGTTTCCAATTATTTGCTTTTATCTGGCTTTAATTAAAAACGATGTGACAAAATGTCAGAAAGATTAATCGAGGGGCCAAATATTAGCTTAATTTAGCAGTGTAGGAGGGAAATGTCAAAGTCAATCAAATCTATATTCCCACGTAAAGATGTAAAACACTCATCTACAAATGGCCATCAGCAGAATGACTTTAGATTTAAGAAACTGTGGTATATGACAATAGTTATCACTAGAAATAATTACAGAAATGTTCTGAAGAAAATGTGAGTCATGCTTGCCCATGCAAGCAAGCTGCCATGGTGCTATGCTTTTCTGGGTGGTTGCCAGAGTGTTGCACTGGGGTAGTTAAAGTGTTTAGAGTGTATGTGGTTTTTAGGGTGTTTGGGTAGTTGCTTATAGACCTAAGTAATGCAGGCCCATCGGAAAAAATGTGCCTGTGGCAACATTTCTGAAAATTATAATATGTTGCTTCTTGAACATTTTGTGACACTTTCAAAGGGAAATCTGGCAACGTTTTAATATGTTGATTGTTGTATGCATCGCAGCAGTTCGGAAATGAAATGTTCGGCAAGTGGTGCTACATGGTTAATGCTGTGTCGCATTTGAAAATAACATACCACTTACACTAAACCCCACCCTAAACCTACATGACATCATTAACAAAAAACAAACATTATATAAACATGCATATGCCAAATGAACCATGACATTTTAGCTTCCTTCAACAAGTTTTTGCACTCGCAATAAAATACCTCAATGCTGTACCAGGTGCGCTACAGAGCAAGTTTACCTTATCAAAAACGTCATATATGGTTATGTGATGCAAATATCAAAATGTATTAGTTTGCAAATAATGCACTGCAGTATAAGTCTTTTAACATGTTTTACAGCCCACTAGTGTTCACTGAAACTGGAAACAGCAGTGAACTTTATGTACAGATACATTTATTTGGAGTTTTGTAAACATGTAGGTAGAGGTACATTTTTATTTTATTTTATTTTGCCTTTTTTGTCAGATCTTTTAAAATCGGCAATCCAGTTTATCATATTTCTCCAATCTATTTAATATCTCTCCTCAACTAGTCATGATTTGCGGTGTTGTTCAGGATTGATTGCATAATGAAGTCTAAGTTAATAAAGAAACATATATAACTTTAAATATGAGCAATAAAAAGTTAGACATATCGGACTGCGCCATCTAGAGTTTCATGCCAGAACTCTGTATTGATTGCCATATCAAACAAGCATCATAGAGACGCTAAATAATGAGTGTCGCTAATAATCTTTAAAGTGTTTTCTTTGGATTCTGGCTTACTCTTTCACTCTATTAGTATATCAGAAGGTTAAAGGTCAGGCATGAGCCGTCTGTTTTATCTCTGTCGAGATGTGTAACAGTGTGTAACAACGAGGGCAGAGATTTCTTATGCATTATAAAGCAGTCTAGACAGCTTGGCAATATGTGTTTCATGGCCTTGCTTTTGTTTTGAAAGCATTCTTGTGATATTAAGCGAACAGTGATTATACATTGAATTATGTTTTTGTCTTTGTTGTCCAGCCCCTTGAGGGTTGACTTGAATGGGAAAATATTCACAGCTACTTTTGTCCATCAGTTTATTAACATGCAGTTCACCAACTCATTCTCAGCAGACCAACTGCACGAGTTACATAACTGAATGAATTTGAGGGAAAAGAATAAAACGAGAATATAAATTATTCAAAAGTAACACATTTTTATACAAAACACACTTTTAAAATGTCTAAATCTCGTTTACCAAACTTTGAGTTGTAGTCCATTGTCTTTAAATACTTGTTTCTGTAAAGAATATACAGAAGTTGAAAGCAAGGCAAAATAGAAAACTGGAAGTTGGCCTGAAATATATGATAAAATGTAGCATTCATCAAGAGATGTTAACATTACAAAGCAACAAGAATTACCATTTGCAAACCATTTTATTTTTGTATTTACAACTGAAACAGGATTTTCAGTGAGAACAAATGTGGGACTTGATTTCATCCATCAGGATTTGATGGATATTTTGGAATTCGGGAAACAGTGTTCAAATCATCCAAATGAACCAAACTCTGATGTCAAATGAATTGGGTTAAGCACCAAAAGTGCTTGTGTGAAGGAAAAAAGAAACTAGATAAAATAGCCATCCTAGTTTCGTTGGATGACTACCTGATTAATGGATCCTTGTGACCCATCCTTTGTTTCTGATCATTAAGTTTCTTACCTCGGTCTGGATCATGTTGATACGTCGTGAGCAGAGCGTCTTCACACAGTTATAAATATCCACCACACCCTCACACTCCGCCATATCCAACATCACGTCCAATACTATGTAACAGCCAGTGCGGCCAGCACCCATACTGCAGACAGACAAATAATGAGACAGCTGAAGAAACGATATCTCAGTGTACTGTTGAGCTACTTAAAATAAATAACACATAACAACTCATGGGCCTAGAATGAAATGAGAGTGAGTAAACAAAGACATTTTTTATGTGGAGATGGCACCGTTCTAATGCAGCTCTGGGTATACGCTAGTAAATGGGCTGTTTTAAGTAGAAGTACTTCACAAATTGAGTTCAGTCAATTCCTAAATATACGTGCAGGGTTGGATGAAACTACTACCACAGCTCTTTCAAGTAGAACATTCCAGGAGTGACTACACCAACCGGCTACTGCCACAATCAATTAACCCAGCTCCCAACCTGAGTCATCTTGAAGCTTGAGCTTCACTAGATGAGCCTGAGTACTGAATCTACATGCTATTCCATGGTACAGTGATATTATCAGTTGGCAATAACATGTTAATTTGATATATTGAAATTAAGACCTGCCAACCAAACAAACGGGGGTAAAAATCAGTCATGGTGGGTAAAACATATCAACTCAAAGGCCAATTTGGTGGGTTATTATTAATAAATCATATCATACAACCAGGAGCCTCCAACATTAGCAAAACAAAGTGTAATGTATAATATATAT